GAGATACCAAAAAAAAAGCATGACCTTGACTTTAATAAAAGACTCAAACCTCTTATGTAGTAAAAAAAAAAAAAAAAAATTAGCAAATAGTTTCCCTCTTAAACTGCCAACATGATACCAATCATTCCAAGAAACTTTGATATGTAGATGTTGAATAGTTGACCTACTTAATACCTAAATGACCATATCCTGAAATATAAACTAGCAACTAGCTTGCAATCAATTTTGCACTTAAGAAAAATCATAAATTATTATATTTTGGGGTCTGTCCCAAAGAGTTAAGACCATAAATATTAAAGTTACCAATGCTAAACTTCCGCAGTACATAAGATGAGATTAGTTCCTAACTCAAAAACGCAGCCATCATTCACAGATACCAAAAGACCAATCCTCTTTAAAACCATCTCTCTAAGGAAGGACTAGGGTCAAAATAAGGGGGGGGGGGTGCAATTATATGGGGAATATAACCAAAATGAAAATGCATACATTATGCAAAAATGAAAAATGATGTAAGAATTACATAAAATAAAATATTTTTAAAATATATAAATAAAACCATCTCTCTAAAGACAAAGAATAAATCATAAAAGAAGCAAAAACTTCGTCATTTTAGTATTTCAATATTCAGCTGTTTATAGCATATATATATCCTTTCCTCCCGTCTTCTCTAACACTTTTTTTTTCCAGGTATTAACACTTTTCCAGGAAACCATGAGTTTTTTTGTTTGTTTATACTATGATTTTGCTTTAATTATCTTAAGCCTTAAAATCAAATAACTTACAAACTTATACTGACGCCAAATCTCCTCTACGTTAATGAGCTAGCAAAAGCATCATTACCAGCCATACATATATATGGTAGTTCTGCAGATATTATCCGTTTTTGAAAAGCTGCTTAAAAGACAACCCTGAATTACATGTTAGTCTGACTTAGTAAAGCATTCACAAGCAAAGTTTGTTACTATCTCTTTTCATGCTGAAGTTTGAAAATCCCTGACCTTAAAGATCATCTGTAAGATGAGAGAAGCAAATATATAGATAATATATAGATACATCATCACACTGAAGTGCCTTTCATTAATTAAAAGGCAACATTTCAGATAAAAGGAATTTTAATTAAATTGGCACAGCGAAGACAAAAAGGATAAAATGGACATTGCTAGCTCTTTTCAGCCCTTGCTTTTACCAGGCTAATGAATATAACTTGAAACACAGATGAGTCTTGCTCTGTACTATGAGACAGCAAAGGGATTTTCTCAGTATTTAAATGTATTAGTAGACCCAGTTATATAAATCTAAATATAAACCAATTTTCTACAGGTTTTGAGATGACATTCATATCTCTGTGAAAAGTTGAAGATTGCTAATCAAGTCCAATTAAATCTTTAGAAGGAGAAACAGTGACTATACTTGCTGTGCTAGAATTACTAACAAAATCCAAAAAGGCAATCATATTCATTTATCCACAAGCCAATGTTATTTAAATCAGGACCGTCAAAAATAAAATTTTGCGAGTCATTCATGATCGGAGATTGGGTGTTTGAGATCAATTCAAATATGGTACACACAAAAAGAGACATTTGTATTTTGTAATAAATGCAGTGCCATTACTCATTGGTAACTATTTTGAGGTAAGATACCAACTCTGCCCTTTCTGACTTCTTAATACCCTCAAAGATAATTTTTGTTCCAGGATGTACTTCTTGGGATTCTCCAAATACTCCATCAGGGTGTCCTCTTTCTAGATGATGCCTTAGTTCTTGTTGGCATGTGTGTAAGACAATCAGTGACCTGACCTTCCACCCAAACTCACCATGGAGATTTGGCTTAACTTTGTGTTTGCCTCTTTTCCATGGGTGGCACTGGGCACACTTCTGGAAAAAAAATCTTCTTGCCATTCTCAACAGCACTCATTATTTTTTTTAAAGATTTATTTATTTATTTATTCATACAAGCACTGGGTACAGTCAGAAGCACGGGAGGGTGAGAGAATTCACCAAAGCCAGGGTGGGGAGCAGAGCAGGCAGAAGGACTGAAGTACACTGCTGAGGGGAGCAGCGGGCAGCAGGAGAGGTCTGCGCGCCATGTAGGACCCTTGCCTGCAGCCAGGGATCGAACTGGCACTGCAGAGGCTGCGGGCAGCTTAGCATCCCAGCGCTCAACCGCTGCACCACCGGGAGGCCCAACAGCACTCATTTTTAATACAGCTCTTTTGCTGATCACTCCACAAAGTTTCTCTGAGGCTGAGTTTTAAGGAAGAAAGCCCCTGGCCACAGTGGGTGGTCTTGACTGCTCTAAAATAATCATGGTGGCCATATTCCCCTTGTTACTGATTGAGTTGGGCATGGACATGTAACACCATGAAACATTTCTGGCCAGATGAGATAGAAAGGCTTTGAGGACATTGTAGAGGTTTCATTTTTGATAACAACCATCAGGACAAATCCAACACAGATCGGAGCCAAGACAGCTACAACGGACAGATTCCTGACATATCATAACTCCAAGAGCTGCCTGACTTCTGGACACCATATATCAGATAATAAGCTTCTTATTGCTTCAGTAATATAATGTAGGGGTTTTCTGCTAGTTCCAAGCATCTAAACCAATACACCAGACTTTTTTCTTTAAAAATACACTAATGTAGGGGAAAATACATTCATTCATAAACAGAAATTCAAACATTATAGGTTGATATAAAATGCAAAGTATGTTTCCCCTGCCTCCCAATTCCATTCTTCAGAAGTTACTGTTAGCAGTTTCTGTTAGATTTTCTGGTGCTTGTCATTAAAATTGAAAATAACATGCTTAAATCATTAGTCTTTATCAGTTTTAAAAAATACTATTTTTGTTTTTATTAAAAAACAGATACCTACTTAGAATCAATTGATTACATAACCTATAGTGAAAGATAGAATACAAAAACAAATGAGACTCTAAAAATATACTCTGCATAGTGCAAGATGCTTGCATCAAAAATAAAAAGAGGGCCTCCCCTGGTGGTGCAGCGGTTGAGCACTGGGTTGCGAAGCTGCCCGCATCCGCCAGCGAGGGTTCCACGTGGCGGGCAGACCTCTCCTGCAGCGCCCACTGCTCCCCTCAGCAGTGTATTTCGTCAATCTGCCTGTTCTGATCCCTGCTCTGGCTCTGGTGAATTCTCACCCTCCCGCACTTCTGACTGTACCCAGTGCTTGTATAAATAAATAAATAAATAAATCTTTAAAAATAAAAAAATAAAAAGAAACCAAACTGAATGAGAGACATTATCTGCCCAATAAGGGGTTAAAATACACAAAGAACTCATAAAATTCAACAACAAAAAAAAATTAAACAGCCCAATTAAAAAATGGGCTCACCTGAATAGACCCTTCTCCAAAGAAGACATACAGATGCCTACTAAGTACATGAAAAGATGTTCATCTCTTCATTATTAGGGAAATGCAAATCAAAACCATAAGATATCCTACATCTATTAAAATGGCTATGATGCCAAAAAAAAGAAAAACAAGTGCTAGACAGGATGGAAGAGAAAGAAACCCTGATACACTATTGATGGGGAATGTGCAGTCATTATGGAAAGCAGTCATTGAGTCCAAAAAAAATTAAAAAAAGAAATTCCATGTGATCCTTACTCCACTTCTCACAAAAGGTCTAAAGCTAAGCTATATACACTCCCATGCTCAAAGCAGACTATTTACAAGAGCTAGAAACAATGTAACTTTGCCCTTCTACAAATAGATAAAAATGTGGTATACACACAATGGAATACCACTCTGTTGTACAAAACATGAAATTTTGTCATTTGCAACAGCATGGATGTTAACATATTATGCTTCCTGAAATAAGTCATACAAAAACCATATAACTTCACTTATGTGATACACAGAAAAAACAGATGAACTAAATAAAAGAAAAACAAACTTTTAGGCCATAAAACTTAATTTGTAGTTACCAGAAGGCAAGACAAAATGGGTGCAGGTAAATCAGACAATTATGTGTCGTAGGGTAGAAGCGGACTTTGAGTGAAATTAATGTAGTATACATACATACTGATTTTTGCTGCACACCTAGAATTTATATTATGATGCAATGTTACTTCAATTAAAAAGTAAATTTTAAAAAGGAAGCTGCCTGACTTGCTGATTTTTGAGCAAAAGAAATCCTCCTATTGTGTTAAGCCAAAAAATAAACTTCAGAAATAAAGGAATATGTTTTTATGATTACTGATGTAATATCCAATTGTTTATATGTCAAACTAAACACACTGTATAATAAATATTTTTCCTGACTTTCAGTTTGTATCTTAAGTGTGTATGATTCAAGGCCCATTTCTTCTTGCAAAACTTATGGCATAAAGCCAAAGGGAGGTTTAAAAAAAAAGGAGTCAAATGAATGTTAAGAATAGAGAAAAAAAAACAACACAGACAATAATCAGGTCCTGGAGAAAAAAGAGGATAGATGCCAACAATATTAAAATAATCCTAAAAGTTATTCCTGGTTTGTAAATAGGACTTCTTTTTGCCTTATTTGTTGTTAGGCTATATAGATAACCATCAGATCAAAACTGAAGGTATAATTGTTTTTTTATTACCAAACTAAAGTAGTAGGTATAACTTCCAGGAAATAATTAAGTTACATAAATGTAATAGAATAAGTTCATTTTCTTCTATGTTTTCAAATTAAAGATAATTGTTAATAAAAACAGCTTTATGCTAAGTCTGCTTTTTACGAACAGAGGAAAGGATGGCAAGGTGGCAAGAATAAACAAAATTATAATTAAAAAATCAAGCTACCAACATTTGTGAGAGGAGATATGAAAGGAAGAAAAATTACCAAATGGCAACCAAACAAGGTCATATCAGGGTTTCAGGTTAGTCAAAAGTAACTTCTGAAATATGGTCTATGCTCAATATAAGTAGCCCATTGCTTATATACCCTCCATACACCTTCGGAATTACAGAATAAAGTTTAACAATAAAATGACAACAGAGAACACTACATTGTAAATATTATATTTTTCTCAACTCACACACTCAATTTGTATGAGACATTTACTAGTTTTAATATGTATCCATAGGATTAATACTCATATGGAGTATAACATGGAAAAGTGCAGAACTAAAGAAATCAGAACATCTGAAAACAAAAGCACACATTTCTTAGGATTTAAAAATATTGCACATAATAAGGTTGCACAGAAATTACTGGCTGTTTTTACAAACAGAATGAGGTATTAGTCAATTTCTAGATAAAGGTGAGTGCAGAGAAGAGGAACCACACACACAAAATATATATATAAATCCATATTAAGACCTAGAGCGCCAACAACTAAGAAAGAAATGTAAAAGATAGTAAAAGTAGCTATGACTTGAATACTACAAAATCATTAGCTGGAGACCAAACATGTAACAATCTCTTGGCAATATTTCATAAATTTTCAACTTTCCTTTAGCCTTCATGACTATAAGCATTACAATCATTTCCTGTACCCCAACTCTAACAAAGAAAGGCATAGTTCTGCAGTAACTATTATACCATGCCTTTCTAAAGCCTTCAGTGGAAATGAACCAAGATACTGCTATCCTTTGCTGAACAGACCAATTATAGTTTCATGTACATTTAGCAACCTCTGTCAGAGATGCTAGAGCATGCAATTTTAAATTAGCAACACTTCACTGCAAAAATCATTCAAGTTCATACAATTTAAATCTACCACAACTCTTAAAGTTTAATCTTTAAATATTTATCAGGCAAACTCAATCTTTTCTTGGTAGTGAAACTGGCCATATTAAGATGCCCAAGGGCAGGGAAAGAAAAAAGACCAGGAAGAATTATATTTTTTTCTTAAAAAAGAATCTTTCCTAATCAGGAAAATTAATATTTAGCTATTTCTCTACTAGCTGAAGGTTGCTTAATTTGTCAAAAACAATTTAAACATATTCAATAGCTACATCAAGTTAAAAGAAATCATGCACTTGTCAAAATAGTTCACAGAAAATTGTTTTGCAAAGATATTGAGGAAGAGTCAACTAGTTGGGTTTAGTGAGAACTGAAATAGAACCAACTACTGTCCTGAACAGTCAGTGTATGTAGTAACCATATTTCCTCTTCGTTGAGTGACAGTCCTACAGTGCTTGCTAGATCCATGGAATCTATTTTCAGTCTGTACTGTGTGCCGATTGGTGGTGTCAAAACCACTGAAAGAAAACATTTTTTCCATATCTTCAAACATGTCATCAAATAGTCCACCTCCAAAAGAAAACTCCTGGAAATGATACCTCTGTCTACTGGAACCATCCTGGCGTGTCTGGAAGTGATTTTCAAAATGCTTCTTGGACCGAGTGTTTTGGTTTTGACCAAAAAAACCAAAGTCTTTAATAAAGTCATCAAAATTGAAGTTAAATGACTGCTCAAAAGAACTTCCACTACCTCTTTGTCCTTTGCCATTAGTAAAAGCACTGTGTCCCAACGTATCATATTCTTTTCGCCTATTAGCATCTGAGAGTGTTTCATATGCTGAAAGAAATAAAAATACTTTAGTAACTGAAAGAAAATTAATCAAAATTACTGAAATGTAAACCTCCTCAAGTAAGTGAATTCAACCCTATATTTAGAATCATACATCACAAGTAATACCAAAACACTATACCCATAAGAATAAAATTAAAATGAAAGTTATAAAAGGCAGGATTTTCATCTTACTGACTGCATATTACAAGCATTTAGCACAATGCCTCGTCCAATAAATATGTTAAATGGATGCCACATTACTACCAATAAATGTGAGTAGGTTATTTTTCATATTATTTGTGTAAAACCACTGCATGCATTAAAGAAAGTAACCATCAAATATAACCAATTAGGTAGAAATTCGATTTTTCACTTTCTTAATAATTCAAGTAAATGCTTAATTCCAGACCTTACTCAAATACCTCTACCCATCATGACTGACTTGAATGCTCAGGAGCTGCAATCTGTTTTACAACTAATCCAGTCAAAATTTGTTTTGTTTTTCCATTAAAGGCAAAAGTGACTTTGAATTGTTGATCAAGTCAAAGGGGGTGGGGAGGGAACAAACATTTTAGAGAGTATTTTAATTTTTTTACAGTTAATATATTTATATTTAATCTCAATACTTGGTAAAAATACTATTTTATGTTAGTTCTAAATTGGGGCACCTAAAATTCCTTTTGACTTAGAAATAATAAGTGGATTTATAATTTAAAAAAATATGTTTTCAATATTTTTAATGTGTATTCAATGTTATGTCTATTCAATGTTATGTCTCCGAGAATCTTGCTATATTTAAATGGAGCTCTCACTCTTTTTCTCATCTTCACAAAAACTTCAAATAGATTCACATATTAACTATCATTTCTCCTTCATTAGCTAATGCCGGTGAGACCAGAGAGCGTCATTTACTTACCTTCCGCAATCTCTCTGAATTTTGCTTCAGCATCAGGGCTCTTATTTTTGTCTGGATGGTATTTCATGGCCAACTTGTGAAAGGCCTTCTTGATTTGGCGCTCTGATGCCGATTTTGGCACACCTAGGATATCATAGTAACTTTTTGAGGCCAAAATTAATTCTGTTATCATTAAAATGCAGATTGCGAAGATAAAAACTGATTGGGGAGTAGCCATTTCTAATATCCTGAAAGAGAAAAGAAAAAAAAATTTAGCCCAACATACTACTAGCTTTATTCCCTTTATAAGAAAGTAGCAAGTTCAGCTTTCATTTCAGCATCGTAAGCCATGGATTGCAAATACCACAATAAAACAAGTAATACAGCAGACTGCAATTTTTTTTTAAAAGGTCAAACATTTAACAAAAAAGCAAGGGTAAATAACTCACTTAAAACTCATAATTAATAGAAATCAAATTTTCTGCCAAAGCCGCGAGAAAGATCAACTAGCATCGTCTGTACCTGAGATAAATCCTTATTTTTAAACTCTCCAGTAGCCATTAAAATATTTCCCGAACTTTTAAGAAGTTTTAACTTAGAATTCTTGGTAGCACAGATTTCCTGAGTTCAAGAAATAAGGTTCAAGCAGCAGCGCTCCTGTTTTTTTTGAGCACTGTACCACAGGAGTCCCTAATAACCTATGATGACATAACAAGGCTGACGAAAGGCGGTATAGTTTGTGGAAACTGCCTGCCTTCCTCTCCTGTGGCCTTTTCTCAGCGTAATTAGCAGGTGGCTTACTTCTTTCCACAGTTACTCACAGTCACGGGTACCAAGGATCAAGTGCAAGCTCCCGGTTTAAAGACCACAAACCCAGAGTGCACTGTGGACCGTGCCCGACAGCAGGTTGTTTCCCTAGTCAAAGGGCGGGTCTGAAACTGACAGGGAGGCCTCTCACTGGCTTAGTAAACGTTATCCCGCAGTTTCAAGTCGAACATCTGACACTTTATTGCTGGCTCGGAAAAGACCACACAGCTTTCAGTGACTGACATTTCTTTACACTGACTTCTCTTCACGGCAGCAGGGCCTTGATCCCCCCCCGCCCGTGGCCGAGTGGACAGGACCGTCCGCCCTCACCCCGCAAGCACACGCCCCGACCGTGCAGGCTCCGCCGTCGGGGCGGCCGCCGCCCGGGGACCAGCCCTGGAAGGCGCCTTCCCACACCCGGGGTGGCCAAGCGCACACCCCAAGACCCAAAATGCAGAACCGTGCGGCTCGGCCACCTCCTTTTCCCAGTCCCCCCTCCTCGAGGACACCCAGCAGCCCGAAGCCTGTGCGGCGATCGCGGCGGACACCGAGGCCGAGAGAGCCCACAAAGAGCCCGGCCGAGGCCCCGGGAACGCGATCAACTCCACCCCGCGACCCGGGCTTCGGCCCCCGTCCGCACCCTCCGGCTGCTGCAGTTCCTACGCCGAGGCGAGGCGCCAACGAGGTGGACGCCCGGCTCCTCACTCCGGCCTCCGCGGCCTCCCGGAGCCCGCGCGCGTCCCGCCGCGGCTAGTACACAGACCTCGAGCTCCTCCGGCCGCCGCCGCCCGCGTCCCCTCTCGGCCCGCTCCCTACTGGCGGGAGGCAGCTGCTGGCGCGGCCACCTCAGGAGCCGACCTACACGAAACGCTCCCCTATTGGCTCCCGCGTCCCCACGTGACCCTGGCGCCCAACGCGCACGTGGAAAACTGTTGTTGCCGCTCAGACTCTACGTCATTTCCGGCTCCCACCCTTCCGAAGGGCGGTGCTGAACCCTGGAGTGGCGGAAGTGGGTCGCTGGTTGCGGCGTCTTAACGCGGGGCCGAGCCTGGCGCAGGCGCAGTGACTCCGGCGGCCTGCTCCGTGGCCCCGCCTCACCGGGAAGGCTAGCCTGCGCCCCTAGCCCGCCGGGGTCGCCCCTAGCCCGCCGGGCTGTCCCGGCGCCGCGCCGCAGCGATGCCCCGCTATTGCGCAGCGATTTGCTGTAAGAACCGCCGGGGGCGAAACAGTAAAGACCGGAAGCTGAGTTTTTACCCGTAAGTGACCCCAGGACAGCAGCGTCCGTCTTTCCCTTTGGTGGTGTGGCTTTTGGGGCGTCTCTTCTCTGCTCTGTAAATTCCACCACCACCACCACCCCCCACCCCCACCCCGGCTCTTCGGGCTTGGTGGTCGCGCGCGGGAGGAGGGCATAAAGGCTCCACCAACTTTCCCTGTAAATGCCCCAACCGAGCGGGGACGCTGGACTGGCGTCCAGGCCGGGGGCATGGTTGGATGTTGATAGCGCATGGAAAACTGTCAAGTTTGCCCGGTGATCATGTTTTCAAAGTGTTTCCCCACCTAACCTGACCTCATTGCATTATACGATGTTACCCACCCAGCTGTGGACAGTACCGCAAATCTGACGGATGGGTGGGTTAACTCCAAGTTAAACTTACTACTCTGCTGTGTTGTTGTAGATGTTTTTTTTTATTCTGTTTTCTCCTGAAGAAAACTGAGGCCTTGCAGAAACATTAGGTAACTGCCCTTGAAAGTTTTGTGGCAAGCAAGAATTATAACCCATCTCCTGCCTAAGCTCTCTACACGTTTCACACAGAGGGCAGGATGTTAGTATTCCCAATTACCAGTGCCGCCAATATTTCCAGGAAACCACGGTACTTACTTTTATTCAGAAGAACAGGGAAGTAATACGGTGTAATCTTTAAGATTCCAGGCTCCAACCAGATTTACAGGTTCAATCTAATCCCGGCTCCACCACTTTGTAACTGGATGACCTGCAAGTTAATTAAACTCTGGGTGCTAAGCTGTCATCTGTAAAGTGGAGACATAATACCTGATTCACTCTTAAGTGTGTGTGTAAAGAAGTAAAACTTCACTTAGTACTCAGTACATGCTGAATATATATGAAAATCAGCATATTTAAAATATTTTTTCTTGCATTTAAAAATAATTTCTTTACCTCTAACCTGATTGCCTCTTACTTTGAATTTTCATTAGTTATTTTGTGGAATGTATTTTAATTTAGACCTCTTTGTTCATAGTGATTCGGTTGCTTTTTGTAACTAATGAGAAAAAAAAGCTTGACAACCCCAAATAATTCACATTATGTGGCAATATTTCCAGGATTATCTCCCATGAAGCCCTTCCACAAGATGTAAAAGATACTTGGGGGGTGGGGGTGGCCCCGGATAAAATATTCTTTAACTTTTGTCTGCATTTTTATTCTTTTTAAAGAGGGAAAAATAATACCAGTTTAAGTCTAAAGTTTCTTTCTTTAAAATATGAGCTTAGGGCCTCCCCGGTGGCGCAGCGGTTGAGCGCTGGGTTGCGAAGCTGCCCGCAGCCTCTGCAGCGCCGGTTCGATCCCCGGCTGCTCCCCGGCCACCAGAGGAGGGTCCCACATGGCGCGCAGACCTCTCCTGCCGCCCGCTGCTCCCCTCAGCAGTGTACTTCGGTCCTTCTGCCTGCTCTGCTCCCCGCTCTGGCTCTGGTGAATTCTCTCACCCTCCCACGCTTCTGACTGTACCCAGTGCATGTATAAACAAAACAAACAAACAAATAAATAAATAAATAAAAACATGCCTCTATAAAAATTAAAAAAAAAAAAATTAAAAAAAAAAATTAAAATATGAGCTTAAAGAAACTGCTGTTTTTAAAAGAGTTTTAAAAATTTCATAGGTAGTCCACAAAATAAAAAACTCTACTAGTTTTATTCCCCTAATAGCAACAAACTCGATGAATTTGCTCATCCTAACACTATAGCAAGCTACAGTCTAAATTTATATTAATTCAGGAATTCAGTTATTATATACATATAGTATTCAATTATACTGTGCTTATTTTATGCTTTCTTGGGAATTAATAAGACAGTGAAACAAAATTACCAGTCAAGCCATTGTTAAGACACTACGCTGTGCAGAAAATTTGCTCTGGAAAATTTCTTAAAGATGTACCTGTTGAGTAAACATTGCAATGTAGTTATTAACAAGAATATTCACAAGGTATATTTTTTAGTGTTTTGATAACATAGGTACAATAGAAATAATTTTCAGATATCCTTATACATGCAATTACATAACATTGTAAAAGGCAGTTTCTTGTTTTAAATGTAACAGGAAAAGTATAAACTTATCCATGGCTAGCAAATTTCAGGTCCTTTTGAAAAGAAAATTTACTTTTACCTCTAAATGCCTATTCAGGTTGTTTAAAAAATTTTCAAACCATGTATGAATAGTGTATCTAGGGCCTCCCCGGTGACGCAGCGGTTGAGCGCTGGGTTGCAAAGCTGCCCGAGGCCTCTGCGGCGCCGGTTCGAGCCCCGGCTACTCCTCGGCCACCCACCGGAGGAAGGTCCCACATGGCGCGCAGACCTCTCCTGCCGCCCGCTGCTCCCCTCAGCAGTGTACTTCGGTCCTTCTGCCTGCTCTGCTCCCTGCTCTGGCTCTGGTGGATTCTCTCACCCTCCCGCACTTCTGACTGTACCCAGTGCATGTACAAACAAATATATAAATAAATAAAAATACATGCCTCTTTAAAAAAAAAAAAAGTGTATCTATGGTAAGAACTTCTAAAAGTAAATCATCTTTTTCTATACAAGGATATCAGTGTTTAAAAATATTTCTTTGAAAGTAACAGACTTTTTCTGTTAGCATCTTATAAAGTTATCAATATTTAGAGGGGAAAATCATGTTACTACAAAGCATACACTAAATGGTTGGGATGGGGGGAATATATAACAGCTTTCTGTATGAGAAACCTTGTATCATTATTTTTTCTCTTTTTTTATTGAGGTAACATTGGCTTACCATACTGTATATGATTTAGGGGAGTAGGGTCACACCTTCTCAGATGTGTGTCAAAACACCAGACCTATCACTAAAGTACCCCTAGTCCTTTACCTTAGACAGGCCTCCCACCTGGTTGTTCCCACCCCAATCCTCAGTCCTCCTGCCTCCCTCCCACTCTATTAACCTCAATTCTGCAGTCCTATTTCCAGACTTTGTTTTGGCTTAGTTTTGTCCTTCCTTTGCTTTGACTCTCTATATTCCACACGAGTGAAATCATGCAGTGTTTGTCTTTCTCCTTCTAACTTTGTTAACTGATTTTTTAATAGAAAATTATTTAATGTGTCTCTTGAACTGTATTCTTATAAAGCCATCAAAAGAAATTTAAATCACTGTAACTATTGTTTAATATGTTTTTATCCAAGTCTGTTTAGACTGGTACAAAGAAGTTTTCTGTCAAATACTGCCTTAGTCCAATTTTGCATATAAAACACATTGAGGCATGCAGACCTCTCCTGCCACCCACTGCTCCCCTCAGCAGTGTACTTCTGTCAGTCTGTCTGTTCTGCTCCCCACTTTGGCTCTGGTGAATTCTCTCACCCTCCCGCGCTTCTGACTGTACCCAGTGCTTGTATAAATAAATAAATAAATCTTAAAAAAAAAAAAAAAAAAAAAACATTGAGTCCAGATTATTGTCAGTTTAGGAAAAATGCATATAAAGTATGTATTCCTACATTTTGCTTGAAGAGACTGAGTTTTGTTTTACAAGCCATTGTTCTCATACCAAAGTCTTGGCTATACCTCGTATATCTTCGTCGTCTTACCTGCAGAAATGATTAGTAGTAGTCATAAAGATGCTCTCGTGATAGAGATGGTTGTCTTGCTTTTGTAGCACTTCATGCATAGGTTGTTTTCTTTTTTTGATTTCAGGTTTCCTCTACATGACAAAGAAAGACTTGAAAAATGGTTAAAGAACATGAAACGAGATTCATGGGTTCCCAGTAAATACCAATTCCTGTGTAGTGACCATTTTACTCCTGATTCTCTTGACATCAGATGGGGTATTCGATATTTGAAACATACTGCAATTCCAACAATATTTTCTTTACCTGAAGACAATCAGGTATTGGAGGCAGGGAGTAGGGGAGGGGGATGAAGCTGAGCAGGGGGGCTAATGATCAGGTGGAGGGAGTGGAGAGAGAAACTGCTGGGAAAACAGACTGAAAAAAGATAACTAGCTTGTACTTTTCCTAAAATTGTGATTTTTTTTTTTTAATTTCGTTAAGTATAGCTTATGAGGAACAAAAGAAAACATACATAAATTGCAAACTTATTAATATAAGTTAATGATCTAGGACTTTTTGCTGGTCTTTTGAATGATGTGAGGTGTTCCCATCATTTAATTAATATACTAATGCTTTTTGAAAAACACTTTATATTTGAGTTGTTAACAACTTTTTTTTTTTAATTCAGTAAGTTTGCTTGTCCAGTGTGCTACTCAAAGTTATAACTAAATAGCACTAGTAAAAGAGTAAATCCGTTAAGGACATCATTTTTAGAATTTGAAAATAATATTTTCTAGGAAAAAGACCCTTCCAAAAAAAAATCTCCAAGGAAAAAATTAGAAGATGAAAAACAAGTGTGCATAAAAGCCAAGTCAGAAGAATTATTTGTATCAAATGAGCCAAAGAAAAATACAGTTATCACAGATGTCCTCCCTGAACATGCAGAATTACTTAATTCATCTTTCTTGGTGAAGCCATCAGCTCCAAAAACAGGAGGTATACAAAATAGCATTTTAACTCTTAATCCAGTTAAACATGATACCAGAAAACCAGAATCAACCTTGGAAACATCAGTTAACCAAAGCATATGTAAAAGTGATTTTCACACATCTCTTGAGATTCCAAAATCTACAACTGTTACTTTGACAACTTCAAATTCAGAAGGTACTCAACAGTCTTTGGAAACCCATGAAGTGCTTGAAATAACTACCAATCATCATGCTCATCCAAACTTTATAAATAATTCCATGGAAATTAAGTCAGCACAGGAAAACCCATACTTATTCAGCACAATTGCTCAAACAGTTGAAGAAATAAACACAAATAAAGAATCTGTTATTGCCATTTTTGTACCCGCAGAAAATTCCAAACCTACAGTTAATTCGTTCCTACCTGCTCAAAAAGAAACTGTGGAAATGGAAGATACAGACAATGAAGACTCCTCGTACAAGGATATGGACTACGAGACAGAAGTTTTACAAATTGAACATTCTTACTGCAGACAAGACATTAATAAGGAACATCTTTGGCAGAAAGTCTCTAAATTACATTCAAAGGTAACTCTTCTTGAGCTACAAGAGCAACAAACTCTAGGAAGGCTGAAGTCTTTAGAAGCTCTAATAAGGCAGCTAAAACAGGAAAACTGGCTATCTGAAGAGAATGTCAAGATTGTAGAAAATCACTTCACAACATATGAAGTTACTATGATATAATAAAATTTTAAATCTATGACTTTATGTAAGCTTTTTGCAGCAAAACCAAATTATGTGTAATGTGAACTTTTTCCTGTATAAAGTGTTCATCTTAGTGAAACTAAGAAATGCTCTAATGCATCCTGAAACTAAGAAATGCTCTAATGCATCCTGTTTGTTTCATTGAAAACAAAGTTGTTGAGCTATAGAGAGAACATGCCATTACTTTACAATTTTCCAAATTAAAGTATAGTGAACAATAGGATTAGTCATAAAATGGAGAACAGGTAAAAAGAGCCCAGAAAAGTAGTCAGGCTCAGGAATCAGTCTTGCTTCTACCTTTGGCATGTGGCTTGGGTGGGTTATCAAGATTGAAACTCAGCCTCTAATCTGTAAATTAAGGACAGTTTATCTCTAATGTACTATGTTTTTTTATAGTTCCCTTCTCTTTCTACTAGGATACTTTTAATAGAACTTTCCTGTAAGATAATCTGCACTTGCATAATACTGGATGTTGGCGTGATTTTATACTATTAACTATTGGATCATCTTCAATATTTATTGAATTCTGTGTTGTTTGACTTCTTGACTATAGTTATCTGTAATTTAAAAGAAAATACTCCTTTTATAATTGTATTCCAGTTGAACTAAAATAAGGAACCACCTATTAACTCAGCTCTTAGGAGAGGTACTTTAAACGTCAAAGAATGTATATTTCAATACTTTATTTGTGACTAACCACCATAAAGTCATTTAAGCCTCTGAATATCCTGTATTTAAGGTTATATTTATAAACCAAAAATTTGAATGACTTAATTTTTTAAATATATAATTATATTTTAGAAATCATTTATATCTACTTACTAGGTATAGCTTTTTAAAATGTTCGCTTGTATCATCTTAAAATTCCAGAATGATAGACTTATACTACATTCCCACTTAATATATGTTTTATTAAAACTTGTAAACAAGAAATTAGAGATAATGGTGATGACCCTAGGGAGATAAATAACAAAGAGAATTGATGTTGAAATAAATAAAAATAGAGATTACAGTCACAGAAATTTAAGAAAAAGAAAGGTGAAAGTAAAGACTTTCTGGTAACAACAGAAATGTACAAAATAGATGATCCCTTAAAATTGACCATTAGTATAATTAAATATGTTGCTATTAATGTTATTGAGCAACTTCTTCTCAGTCTGATTCTTAGTTTTTTCAAAGTTGTGTAAAAGTTGCTGTTACTGTCTGAAGAATGGTTTGGAGAATTTTGTAAGGAAACATGTTTTTGATCCTCAAAAATAGGAGTTACTCAATAAATATCAGTTGACTGCATCACAAATAGTATACTAATTGTTTTACAAGTGACTAGTTGTTACTGGCTATATTTCACTTAGTTTTTCAGGCTAATAAATTAATTCCTGTTACATAAATATCAGCTAGTTATTAAAAAAATTGATTAGAGGTATTTTTACCTCTAATCATGGAGTGACCATTGGGACAGAACTTTCAAATGTTGCATAAATTAAGTGTCAATAGTTGATAGTTAATATGATGTTATTTTTAAGTATTCCCATGTGCATTTTGCTAAAACTTATTTAAAATAAATAATACACATAAAAAATATAATTCACTGTGTTTAACTCATTTTTTGCTGTTTACATTGTTGTTATTTTTCCTTTAAAATTACAATTTTCTCAGGAATAATTTATATTAGTTTTACTTTAAACTTAACAGACTGTAAGTATTTAAGGTACCATCTTGGCTGCCTGTATTCAGTTCAGAATATTCTCAGTCTAAACCAGCTAACCTCTAAATTTTATTTGAGGTTCTGGCCAACTTTATTTCTTACTTGGATTATTACGGGAGCTTCTTAACTAATCTTGCCAATGTATTCAATCTCCTACTTCCATGTCATCCTGAACTCTGCTGTCAGTTTTTTACCTAAAATATAGATCTAACTATATCACCCACCTGCCACTTGATCTTCCTAGCTCAGAAATCTGTAATAATTCTCTAGTACCTATGGAATAAAAGCCAAATTTGTTACTAGCATATACATGATCCTCTGATTCTGTTCATCCTGTATTAAAATAAACGTGAACTTCTTAACATTTACAAAACAAGACACATGTGTCTTCTTATTTTATTCCCTAAATGCAACCAGTCTGTCAAAGTTATATATTAATTTTGGTGGAATTTCATCCCTTTTCCAGTCAAAATTATTTTCTCTCTGATCCTACAGGACTTCGTTTTATAACATTAACAGCGTTTACTTATACTTTTTTGTATCATGGTATCTATGACTATCTCCTTATAAAAGCAGAATTTTCTTTATTTTATATATTTTTTAGCAATGTAATAGTCTCTCAATAAATGTTTGAAGGAATACTTTGAATTTGCCTACTGGAATTTCTTGTTTATTTCCACTTAAATTCAAGAAACTTCTTAACAAAGTATGTGTTCTTGACACCTTGGGAATGATTAAGCAAGGATATAGCTCTTCATAAAATATTGGAAACATTCCATTTTTCCAATGTATGGTGCAATTTGCCATCAGTTAACTACTATGTCATCTATTACTTGATGTTTGTTGTGGAAGGCTGACCCTATCCCAGACTATTTCATACTCTATCCTAGATAATTATAAAAGAAATTTTTGCTAAAGCTATTTATCTCTACATGTCAGGAAGTTAGGTGAGTAAAATTTAGCATAAATATATGGTCCTGATCTAAGTAACAAATTTTCTGCATATTTTTTAAATTTATTTATGCATACAAGAATTGGGATCTAGGTCAGATGTGCAGGGTGGGGGTCGGGAGGATGAGAGGATTCACCTGGGACAGTGAGGAGCAGAACAGGTGGATCTACTGAAATACACTGCTGAGGGGAGCAGCGGGTGAGACGGAGAGGTCTGCTGTGCCATGTGGGTTAGCTCCCTGGCTGGGGATGGAATTCATGCCACAGTGTCTGGCGATAACTTGATACCGCTGAGACTTTAACCCATGGCTACCAGGGAGGCCCTTTTCTACACATTTTTTTTTTTAATCAACTATGTATTAAGAGTTGAGATTCAGCAGTCACATTAAAAAATAATTATCTGGGGGCCTCCCTGGTGGCGCAGCGGTTGAGCACTGGGTTGTGAAGCTGCCCGCAGCCTCTGCAGCACCGGTTCTATCCCTGGCCGCCTGGCGAGGGTCCCACATGGCGCGCAGACCTCTCCTGCCACCTGCTGCTCCCCTCAGCAGTGTACTTCGTCACTCTGCCTGTTCTACTCTCCGCTCTGGCTCTGGTGAATTCTCTCACCCTCCCGTGTCTCTGACTGTACCCAGTGCTTGTATAAATAAATAAATAAATCTTTAAAAAAAAAAAAAAAACACACACAACACTTAAAAAAAAAAAAAGTATCTGGGGCCTCCCCAGTGGTGCAACAGTTGAGCACTGGGTTGCGAACTGCCCGCAGCCTCCGCAGCGCCAGTTCGATCTCCGGCTCTGGTGAATTCTCTCACCCTCCCGCATTTCTGACTGTACCCAGTGCTTGTATAAATCAATCAATCAATCAATCAATCTTAAAAAAAATAAGTATCTGAATTTAATTTGAATGTCAATTTAACTTAATATATACAAGATATTATCATTTCAACATGTAATCAATGTAAAAAAAATCATTAAGATTGCTTGCATTCTTTTTTGTACTAATTCTTTGAAATCTGTGTATTTGACTAATTTAGGCTAACCACATTTTAAGTGTTCATTATCCACATGAAGCCAGTGGTATGTATTAATAGCACAGTTCTATAGTATATGTATTGTCTTTCTATAATATGAAGTAAAGAATTTTGTGGTAAAAAAAAGAGTTGAGATTGAGGTGCAGTTGAATTTTTCTAGCTAAATTGAACAACTCTGCCAACTTATTTGGTGTTCGAATACTTTTTTGTTTTTTAGATTTATGTGCACTTTTTTGTTGGGTATGTGAATGGGTAAAACTCTTACACACAACTATTGGGGGAGAAATGCTATAGAGAAGAAGGGGGCAAGATGTAGCTATATGAAGAGTTATAAACTTCAAGGATGGAGTTTCACTCACCATTTTAACCTTTCTGCCTGCTTAGTTTCTCAGCTTCATCCCCAGTGAACTTTTCTTCTACCCCTCCTCAGCTACCTCATTCCCATGGTCATTGGTGAACTTTCATCATCACCAATAAGTCTGTCCCTTACAAAATGACGTGAAGCATATTCTAACTACTACCTTCTGTTGTTATGAGAATAACTCGCACTGCAATGGACCATTTTTCCACAATCCATCATTCCTGAGGTAGGTTGTATTTTCCAAATATGGATCCAAAATATATCTCTTGCTGTTCTACAGTGTAACTCTGCCACTTGCTCATCAAGAGAGGAAGTTTATTTCTCTGCCTCTGAATCTGGTGGGCTGTGTGACTAATAAGTTATAGTGAAAATGATACTGCCACTTCCAAATACAACACTTAATTGGCTTGGCAGCTTCCATATCCTCTTTGGAACAGTGCCTCTTAGAATGCCAGATACCATGTAAGATGTGTGATTACCCTAAGATCATGCTCAAGAAACCAAACCATATGGAGAGTCTGGAAAATAAGACATTAGACACATGAATGAAGAAATCACCTTGGAAATTGATTGATAACTGGTTTATTACTCTGTTTAAAAGTTTTCAAAATTGGGGGCCTCCCTGGTGGCTCAAGGGGTTGAGTCTCAGCACTATGAAGCTATCCGCAGCCACTGCAGCCTGAGTTCAATCCCCAGCCAGGGAGCTAACCCACATATGGCACAGCAGATCTGTCTTGCCCACTGCTTCCCTCAGCAGTGTATTGCAGTAGATCTGCCTGTTCTGCTCCCCACTCTGTCTCTGGTGAATCCTCTCACCCCCACCGCCCACCTCTGGCCTATACCCCAGCTCTTATATGCACAAATAAATAAAATAAATCTTTAAAAATAAATAAAAGTTTTCTAAATTAAAAATTACATAATTAATGACTGCTAGGTGTTAGCCTTCTCAGTAAAGATTATTTATGATGGTTTTGTTTCTTTTAAGAACATTTGAGGGGAATTACAATGAGGGAATGAGTTAATGATTTGGAGTC